CAGCAGTAAATACAAGAACCGGGATTAGAACCCAGATCTTCTGACTCATGGTCTAGAACTCTTCCACCACACACCCTGCCTCTGTGTGAATCCGTGTAATGATAAGCTTGACTTGGTGATGGTTACCTGTGCTTGAGATATTGCTCTGCTGTTTATTCATGTCTCGTATGTTGTTGGCATATCTGCCTGTCACACTAAAGTCTAACTATGTTTTAGGTTCCAGAGGATAAGGATCAATATACAGTCTTAGGCGGTAACTCTAAACTGTACTTTCTTATGTGTTTCTAGAAAATTTTAAGCCGCAATTTACTTAAGCACTAAACCCAAACACGCTCTTACAGTTGCCATCTCTCACTGCTGATGAACACTCTACAATGCTGAAGCGAGAACAGACATGTGCTGATGGCTTCCATTTGCCCATGCATACCCACTCTTCATCTTTTCCACCCTGCTCTGAGCCCCAATTCACCTGTATGCACCAATTTTCTCCACGATTCCCTTGCCACCTGGATTCCATCTGGTTCACCCAGTGGAGTCCAGCAGGAGATTGGAGGCAGGGAGGAGAGTGAAGTTTGGCTATTTATTCCCCTGACTCCCTCCCAGATTGACTGTGACCCACGTCTGAGGTTCCTGGTTCTCATCAGGGGGGTCTCTGCATATAGCTCTCGGACCCTTTACACACAAATTCGGTCTCAGGGTGGTGACCGTGGTAAACCTGCCCAGAATATGGCCACAAATTCTTTGACATTCCTATCATCAAGATGTGGGGTCTATGTCCTCTCCCCTTGAAAGTGGGTGGGCTCTGCGACTACCAGGAACAATAAAACATGGCAGAAGTGACACTGTTTCAGTGCACAGACTGGCAGCTTCTACCTAGGGATGCTAAGGCAGAACTGTTCTGGGAGACGCAGGCCTCCTCTGAAGGCCTTTCTCACACTGCACAGAAGTCTCGGACACTCTGGCCAACCTCTCCCCCCTCCCTTCACCCGGGGTCAGGTTTGCATTGCAGTCTGACAGCTCCCCCAGCCTTCCCCACCTTGCTTCCTATTTTCTCTCTCACAAGCACTTCCCCTAATAAAATCCTTGCACATTTAATCCTACCTTGGCATCCTCTCCTCTGAGGACCCAGACTAATACAACCATCCCAATAAATATTCAGCCTTGAAAACTGAGCTTTGATATTAAACATATAAAGACAGTAGAACTAGCTTTTGCTGAATAAGGGCGGTCCCATGAATCTAAGGTCATAAATAACCAGTCTTATATTGGGTTGGCCAAAAAGTTCATTTCGGGTTTTCCATAACATCTTACAGGAAAACCCGAAATGAACTTTTTGTCCAACCCAATGCAATGGGATGTCTGTATGTATGGCTGGATCTAATTCCTAAATGATCTATATTAACACAGTATCATTTTCTTTAATAAGACTTTTACAAAGTATGATTTTCACCTATCTCCAGAAATGTATCCTTCCCCAGATGTCCAAAATAGGTTCTCAATCCCTTGTCCAAAACCTGGAGACCATGTGCATTTTGGAATTCAAAACTTTTCAGGAAGTAATATGTACATCTGCCATAGTTGACATAACAAACCCAGCAGGTCTGGTGCAAAACTCTACAATCAAATACATTAATACAGCAAGTCTCCTACATATGAACAAGTTCTGTTCCGAGAGCACATTCATAAGTCCAATTTGTCCGTAAGTCCAACAAAGTTAGCCTAGGTACCCAACTAACACAATCGGCTAATTAGTACTGTACTACAATAGGTTTATAATACTTCTCACACGAATAATACATAAAAAACAAACACAAAAAATAAAACATTTTTAATTTTACAGTACAGTACCTTGAAAAGTATGCCAGACACGTGAGCCAACTTATGTGATTGGACACGCAAACACACATTTGCATCTTTGAAAATTTGCAACTTGCAGGTTCGTATGTAGGGGACTTACTGTACTATGTCCTCCACGAAACATACAAATATTAAAACAAGTGGTATAAAAATAAACAGCCTAGAGACAGTGCAGGTATGGGTTTGCCACCAAAGGAGTTCAGCAAAGGTTAGACTGCACTGCCATATGAATTATTAAAAACATTCAGTTTTCAGAGCTTTTTGAATGTCTGAGTGTGAATAAGGGATTGTGGGCCTATATAGCCACGCTAAACTATGCAGCCCTTTAAAAAAAACAAACAAACCAGATACTCCTTTGCACCAACACAGAATAAATGGCCATCCCCCAGCGTGGGATGAAGACGGCACCGAGCAGGACCCGTGCGGAGGCAGGGTGACGTTACGCGACTCCAGAGAGGGGAGAAGAAAGGTGGAGACGATCTTCACTTGTCAAAGCCCCACGCCCACCTTTTACTGCCCTCAACCCTTTGTTACGACTTCATCTCTGGTTACGAAATTCTGTGGAAATATTGTTTATGAGTATTGACTGTGATGTGGGAAAAATTTTAAACCTGAATTTAGCTATACTATTTATGAGACACCCCTGCAAACTGCCTCTATTGATTGCAGGCAACTAAAATGTTAGACGTAAATTGGGAGCTGAGATAGTCCACAAAGGAAATTTATGTAGGGTATTAAATAAGCCTCAAGGCAAGGGACACTGAATATGAGAAATGTGGACCGGAGCCGCTCCAGTAGCCCTGAGACTTCCGGGTGTCCCTTCCTGGGTCAAAGGCGAGGACACACGGTGTGTCTGCTCCCCCTGGGAGCTCCTCAGAAACACCCAGCCCTGCACTTCCCTCCTCCGCCCTGAGCCCCTGTCGTGCCGCTCACAAGAGGCTCTTCTCTTCATCAGCCACGTAGGGAGCTGAGAGTCAGCGGAGAGGCCGTTCACCTTCCTCCTCTGCCCTGCTTCGTCCTAAACCTCCTCATTCTAAGTGATAAAAACACAAACAATGGAAGATGAAAAGCACGGAGCGAAATAAATTAGGAAGGAAATATTCTCCCTAGTCGCTAAATAGCCCTGGGAGAAATGGTCTGCAATGGGTAAAAGTTAAGGAATATTATTAGGGATGGGAAATTCAAATCTAGCTTAGTATTAGTATTTTATATATTAGTATTTTATATATTCAGTATTGACTGTTTTTCCCCCAATAAGCATGTATTAACAACTTCATGACTTTTCAATCTCATATGTTAATTATGGGCATAACTGAGAACAATGTTCGTGAACACATGTAGGTGCTGTTATTTTTCTCTAGGAACCACTGTCTGGGAATGTACTGAGTGCCAACACTCCGCCCAGCACTTTAACAAACATCATTCCATACCTGTGCTGTTTATTCAACCCCCAGGTCTAAGGGACTGTGCTCAGCACTGGAGATTCCCCAGGCGACAAGACGGGTGTGCGGCTTACCCTCAAGAAGCAGGCAGAGCACTGTGGAGACATTACACAAGGTCCTGCACATTGAAGGAGTTAATTCCACTCGTGGCGAGTGCTACGAAGGAGAAGTACTCAGAGACCAGTCAGAGCCTCCTAACAGCTCTCTGAGGTGGATCTCATCCTCGATTGTAGATAAAGAGTTATCATTAATATTTGTAACATTAAGGTATGCTAATTATAATAACATAAAATGTCCTGGACAAATAATAATTACAATGATCACTATTATAATACTGACTTGGGAAATAATTTTATATCAGCTGGTCAATGAGAAAAAGGATGGGAATAAATGAGGAAGAAAGTCTGAATGCGCGAGAGAGTATGTGGATAATTACTGTCAAAGAATTTCCAGGGCACCATTCTATTCCCCCATAAAGGAAAATTCCTCCATGCAGGGGCTTAGAGACCTTCAGACACCCTCCCCTCCTCCAGAACAGCAAGGTACTAACAGAAGGACAAGGTAGAAACAAATACAAGGTTTGTATTTTCCAGAGATGTGTCCCATATTTCCCAAGACAAATTTAATTTCAAAGACTTGGTTCCTTGGTTCCCATAAACCAGTGAAATAACCTGGAATCACAACCAAGATTACCTCCTGAACCCAGAAGTAACACAAAAATCCTAGTCAGACCAAGTACCCTGTTTGTTTGGCAAAATATTGCTACTGTGCTCAAAAGGCACTAAATGATAAGAGGTGAACATCTTCCACCAAGACCTGCTGCTCTAAACGAGAACTCCCATCATCACCACAGCCAGGCTTCCAAGTTGTCATGATCAGGTGTTCTTAGCTTCTATAAAACGTGAGCCCATGGAAGTGGAACGTCCAGATATACAAAGGTGGGCATTCCATCAGAAGGCACGTGATACGTTGTTCCTTGCTTCTCTCCCTGCCAGGGCTGTCAATGCCAATAACTTGACAAGGAGCCTCTGAACTAAGTACTGTATATGTGTCTTTACTTAGTGAAAAAAGAAAACTCCTTAAAATTAGAATGCTAGGTCCACGATGTCTCCTGATAGCTCACAATAGAAAAGATATCAGTCGATTTATTCCATGAAATGAGAGCGTCATAAGGAATTCAGAGTGATGCTAATGAGACAGCCAACCTTTGATGGGACCTTCACTTGGCTTCGCTTTAATTTTTGCTGTCACAAAGCTGTTATAATAAAAAACTATGTTCTGTTAAGTAGATGGCAGCTCCAGGGCACTTGTGCCACCAGCGCCCCTCTCCATGTCCACAGGAAGCCTCACACTCTCTATGACAGACCTCTTAAGCTCAGAGGACAGCTTCACAGAGAGTTCCAAGTAGCCACTACCTATGAACTCAAGTAGACCCAAGAGCCAGTCCAGTTGCCAATGCTTGTTTAGACTCCCTTACTGGACATTCACAATGTCCTGTTCTATGACATCAAATGGATCCCATCAGACTTAAGCTGTTGCCGGCATTAAGACCTGTAATTGATACTGGTAAGGAATATGGATGGAATGAGAAGGAAAATAAGGCTAAAGTCGCCATCAAGTCAATTACACTGTGTTCACCTTCCTCAGTTTCCATCAGCTGTACTAGAAACAGGTAGAAGATTACATCAGCCAATCACTGACCTTATGGAGAGCTGGAGCCAAGACTGGTACCAAGAATCCATTGTAAATATAATTGACGAGCTGATTACGAATCAAGGGGTGAGCCACCTGAGAGAGAAACGGCAGTCATGAAAAGGTAAGGAGCGCAATCTTTAGGTCTTCTTAAAATCAACCATTTCTGTGTACATCCTGAATTCAAGAAGGAAATCCAAATTTTGGCCATTTATTCCACGGTTAAAGAAAAACGCAGACTTCAAACCAACATGTAATTTTTCCAGATGGTTTATCCCATTATAAACAGCCTGGACTTTCAAATTTTAAAACGGGTAATTTTAAGTTTTTATCTGAAAAAACAATAATAAATAGACTGATTATGTATAGGGACTCGTAAATTAAAGTCGACAAACTGGAAAGTATAATTTTTGCTCCATAACTTCCTCTATGTCCTATCTCAACCTGTGACTAATTAAAAAAATAATAAGAACTGTCAAAATAGACAATTAAAAACATTCATTTTGGTAGCAGAAAAAAAATTCTCATTTTGAAAATGCATTTTCTGATAATCATTTATATTGAGGAAGAAAGCATTTAGAAAATTTTTTCATAAAAAAGATACTGTTAAAAAGCAGAAAACATTATCAGAGGTACAACACTTCCTATATTTAATTTTCAAAATATATTTAGCATGGATAAGCCTTACTAATATCTTTTATAATTACAACCATCCCTGGGTGTCTGTAGGGAACTGGTTCCTGGATGCCCACCCCTACCAGGATACCAAAGTCGGCAGATGTTTAAGTCCCTTATATAAAGTGGCACAGTATTTGCATATAATCTACACACGTCTTCCCATATACTGTAAATCATCTCTAAATTACTGTATAATACATAATACAATATACATAGTTGTAAATACAATGTAAACGCTGTGTAAATAGTTGCTGGTACACAGCAAATTCAAGTTTTGCACCCTTTGGAACTTTCTGGATTTTTTTCGAAATATTTTCAGATCCTCTGTTGGTTGAATCCACAACTGTGGAACCTGCAGATACAGGGGTCAACTGTAATCTCTTCACTTATACCCCCAAACAAAAAATCTTAAAAGTATATGGCTTCAATCTCAAAATATGATACAAAATGTATCATTTCTCTGTTCTTAACCATGCCCGTTAGCTTTCTCCTTCTCTAAAAAAATAAAAATAGCATCAAACAATAAAGTAAAAAGCAATTTCTAGGGAAGTGAGGCTAGATCTTTAAACTACTGACAATCTCTCTCTCTGTGTACATTTGGGGAGAAACTAATAGTTCCATCTTTTTTATTTCCACATTCTTCTGCAAGAAAATATTGACAGACTGTAATGTTAAAGGAAAAAATAACTTAAGATGCAATCCATTTATCTCATACATAAATAAAATTTCCTTTGCCTTAGCAATAAAAATGAGATGGGAACTAAAGTAATTTACTTGCATTTTCTTCCAGAAGCCATTTCTTTATTTGGTAGATAAACAGATTATAACTAACATTTTTCACCTTACAATCACCATAAAGAAAATTTGATTTCTTAATAAATCCAAGATTAAGGTAATATTTGTGCTATATAGAAATAAAACATTTTTTGATGAAAACCTACTACACCCTTGTGTATTTATAAAATCTGGTTTTTTTTTACTGAAAACAGTAACAAGAAATCTGAAGGTAAAAATCTAATCAAAAAGCCAATATACTAGAGTTCAGTGGTTGTTTGTTCCCCGAAGCAGGCCAATTTCAAACCAAATTTAATTTGTGTTGCTAAGAAGATGCTTAACTTCTAAATTCAATTGGAATAACAATATTCTTTATGCAGTAAGCACCATTAAGCAAAATAAAGTGTTTTCCTTTGTAGACTCCCAAGAAGACCTTGAAGTGAAAGTGGTATAATTTGGAGTACTTAGAAGCCTAAAAATATCTATTTACTGAGTCAGGCAGTGAACTTATTTTTGATAGTTAAGTGGATAATCAAAACAGAATTAACACTTTTTATAACGAAGGTAAAGAAAATCTACTCTTTTTTTCTCAATTGAAACTACCCAGAAACCTCTAAACTAACACTTTTACTCATTCGAGAACATTCAGTAGGCTTAAAGTAAAGCATCAGTATTCCATAAACGTTTATTGAAATAAGAAAAGGAATGTTTATCAACTGATCCTTCACAATGCTTGTATCCTGAATGGACCACGACAGAGGGTTCCTTGCCTGCTCCCACCTGAATGACGGCGTTGCAGAACTCAAGGGAGTTCATGAACTGGACCAGAGGAGGGAGCAGGACCCAGTCGTCCTTCAGAAGGCAGTGCCATTCCTCGTCTTTCTCTTCCAGCTTGGCAGGCAGGGAAGAGTACAGACCACTGAGCCCGGTCGCAAGCACCTGTGTTCAGAAATAAAAACGTAATAAACACTTTCCCCAGGTTCTTAACCTGCAACAAACAGCTCCCAGGTGATGCCACTGCCACTGGTCCAGACTGTACTTTAGGTGGCGAGGTATTCCAGCATCAGAGGCTGTCAGCTAGGAAGGATTCCACAGCTGGAGGCGGGAGGGAAGGACAACTCCAGCAGAGGGAACAGAAGCACCAGAGGTCTTCGGCTAATACCTACGCGATTCTACAGGTTGTTTATCTCCTACGTGCCAGGCCTATGCTGGGCAGTGGTAGGGGGAGTGAGGGAGACACATGCAAGGTGAAGAAAACATGGTTCCGGCACCCAAGGTATGCAGGAGAGGAGCGAACTCATAAACAGTGCGTTCTATTACACGACGCTGAGTGCACACACAGAGATGACCCACACCCCCCGTTCCACGGGGACACACCCTGGACTGAGGCGGCCCGGGACAGAAGATCTCACACGGGCAGCATGAGTAGCTTTATGAGAAAGATTCCTGCAGGCATGTTAAAGCTCATGACTGACACGTGCGTGCTTCCAGTTTAGAGAGTGCTTTCATCTCATCTCCACAAATTATAGCAAGAAGAAAGAACTGGGGGTCACAGGTCAGTTAGATGGGATGACGAAACTTCAAACAGAGGTAAAATGGGTCTACACGGAAGCATCGGCAGTGGGAAAAAGAGGAGTAAAGAAAGGGGAGGATCACATGTAAGGTGGACATGAGGGTGAGCTAACTATCATACCTACCTATCCAGTATTAATCCAAAGCTCACAAGGTTTACTTTCTTCCCCTGCTCGGTTTCTAAATGACACTGACAGTGTTTGGGCTCAGTTAGTGACGGTGAGTGAGAACTCCAAACTGTCACTTTATCCAGCTTGGTCATTAAGAAAATGCAGATGCATCAATTGAGACAGAAATATAGAAAAGGAAAACACATGTCGACTGCCTAGTAGTTTTATCTTGTGGAGAACAGGACCAAGGAAAACAATGAATTTCACAGTACGGGGAAGTGATGCCAGCCAAACAGCACCTTAGGGCTCCTGATCTGGTCGATGTGCAAAGGATGGACAGGAAGTGCCCAGAAAGAAACACAGAAGTGATTTATAAAAGGGGTTGCTCTAGGGTAAACCCTGAGGTTATAAGGAACTCAAATGGGATAGAAACATTCAAGAAAACATTCCATTCTGAATTAGGCCCAGAAAAGAAACAGCAAAGTATTCACTGATCTCACAGTCTCATAAGAGATGAACAGGCAATTATAACAGTGTAATAAATGCTCAAACTACATAATAGAAAATATGTCACCGTGGATATACAAACCCAGACTTGGAGTGTTGGGAGCAGGAAATGTTCTCAGAAGAAGTGATGTCGGGCTCCCCTGGTGGCGCAGTGGTTAAGAATCCGCCTGCCAATGCGGGGAACACGGGTTCGAGCCCTGGTCCGGGAAGATCCCACATGCTGCGGAGCAACTAAGCCCGCGCACCACAACTACTAAAGCCCGTGCACCTAGAGCCCATGCTCTGCAACAAGAGAAGCCACCGCAATGAGAAGCCCACGCACCACCACGAAGAGGAGTCCCCGCTCACCGCAACTAGAGAAAGCCCACGCCCAGCAACGAAGACCCAATGCAGCCAAAAATAAATTAATTAAATAAATAAATTTTTTTAAAAAAGAAGTGATGTCTAAGCTGCTGAAGAATGAATAAGAGTTAGCCAGAAAAAGAATGTTGGAAAGAAGAATATTCCAAGCAAAGGATGTACAAAAGCTCAAAGGAGCAAGAAAACATGGCACCTTCTGGAACTAAGAGAAGTGCAGTATTACTGGAGCATATAGTTAGAGATGGGAGGAGCCTGGCGGGTACGCTGGAGCCAGATCCTGCAGGGTTCTGTAGGACAGAATACAGAGCTAGAGCCCAGTGGAGAGTCCAGCAGACAGTGTGTGGGTCTGATGCCTACGAGAGGCATCTGGACTAGAGATGGAGCCCTGGAGCTGTCCACATGGCGATGAGACCCCAAGCTATACAGACCAGAGAGAGAAGGGAAGGGAGGTTTAGACCATGAGCTATAACAAAATAATCCATAGTGCCTGGTGTCAGACACAGAAAGTCAAAAGGAGGTATAAGGACCTCCCTGGCAGTCCAGTGGTTAAGACTTCTTCCAGTGCAGGGGGTGCGGGTTCGATCCCTGGTCGGGGAGCTAGGATCCCACACGCCTCGGGGCCAAGAAAACCAAACCATAAAACAGAAGCAATATTGTAACAAACTCAATAAAGACTTTAAATATGGTCCACATCAAAAATACTCCTTAGGGACTTCCCTGGTGGCACAGTGGTTAAGAATCCGCCAGCCAGTGTGGGGGACACGGGTTCGAGCCCTGGTCCGGGAAGGTCCCACATGCTGCGGAGCAACTAAACCCGTGCGCCACAACTACTGAGCCTGCACTCTAGAGCCCATGAGCCACAACTACTGAGCCCGAGTGCCACAGCTACTGAGGCCCGCGTGCCTAGAGCCCGAGCTCCACACAAGAGAAGCCACCACCACGAGAAGCCTGCGCACCACAATGAAGAGTAGCCCCTGCTCTCTGCAACTAGAGAAAGCCCACACCCAGCAACGAAGACCCAACACAGCCAAAAATAAAATATAAATACATTTATTTTGAAAAAAGGAGGTGTGGATCCCGGCGTGCCAAACTTGGAAAAATTACCTACAAACTGTTGCCTCTCCTCCCCCGTCTTGATCCTAGAGCACCCTCTGGAGCTCCCTGTGTAGCAACTGTCCTCCGTGCATTTATTAATTTATCAGCCCTCTTCTCCATCTCACCTGGCCTGACATGTTCATTCTCACCCACACAGCAGATGTGGGTGACTTGCCCAGTCAGACGCTAGCAGTACTTCCCCTGAGTAACACATCCGTCAACAACAGAGGATGGGCCTGAGGATTGGTCACCTGGAGGTCTCAGTGCAGAGAAACCAGACGCCGCCAGGGGGCAAATGGGGGAGGGGCGGGATGGGGGAGGGGTGGGGATAGGGGCTATGAGCCCACAGTGGAGTGTGAGGGCAGCAAGAGAAAGACACGAACCGTCTCAACAGTGGAGAAACAGAAAGGTTACATACATTTCTCTGTTCTATTTCCTAGTGACCTAGATTTACTCGTTCATTCATTCACTCACTCATCTAAAAAAAAAAAATCAGTGAGCACCGTCAGGCCAGGTACTATGTTAAGTACGGGACATACGATAGTAGACAAGATAATGCACGTATCTCTTTCAAAATCAGGGCATCTGTGGTCCCAGAGGAGAATGTCCCCGATTTAAAAGCATTTAGCTCCTTGTCAGCAAACCCAAACAAATCACTTAATTTCCAGTTTTGAATGTGACCCCAAGTGAGCTGTTTGTTATAAATTAGAAACCGCTGGCAAGAGAGAACAGAGACCAAAAGTTCTCCTTGAAGGGAAATCTAATCTTGATGCCGCATTTTAAAAATCGATTACATTTGCTAACTCATGCTAAATTAACCAGAGAACAAAGGCTTTAATTCTGCATCCTCCCAATTCCTTAACCACTTTGAGGCTTTGAAAAAGAATTCATAAAGACAGCTTAATTTGTCTGACTAAGAAGCTGGGAATAACTATTCAGTCTATCAGTATAATTGCAGCAACATTAATTTTCAAATTACATACATCAGTGGCGGTAATTAAAAAGAACACATACCTAATATTCACTTGTTTTTAAAACAGTGTTCTGAAAAGGGCATGGCTGAGATGCGAACACGGCCCACCTGTGCCGGAGGACAGTGCGGTGTGCCCGCTGGACACGCACTCCTGCCATGTGCTCGCCCCTGGAAGCAGAGCCAGAGAATGTTTCTGCAATGGTCTCCAGCGTAACGAAGAAACACAGAAGAAAACAGTCTGCACGATAAAGAGGACTACACGGGCTTAAGAGCAAGATTCCAAATCTTTACTGCTAAATATTTATCTTTTCCAAGACTTTGCTCAGAGTTCAGATTCCTTCATCCAATACACATATAATTCTAGAAGACCAACGACAGGCCAGGCACCGTGTCAGGCCGGTGCTGGGGAAAGAGCATTGAGCGAGTCAGACTGGGTGAGATGGAGAAGACCACCAATCAACCAATAAATGCAAGAAAGGCAATTACTCCAGGAAGAGATGCAGGTGGTGCTGTGGGAACAGGAAGAGGGGAAGGGAGGGGCAGCAACAGGTCTGCAGGTAATTCTTCCGAGAGTTTGATGGCACAATCTATTTCCTTTCAAGTTTAATTTTTACCTTAAAAATGTAAGAATATATAGACATTCAACAGCAAATTTTTTTTAAAATGCTCATCCACTCTTTTAGCCTTTTACTGATCCTGACCACAAAAAAAAGTAACTGTAAAACATTGTATTTATTCCCAACAGATTATTAACTTTTTTTTTTTTTTAGCCGCGCCGTGAGGCATGTGGGTCTTAGTTCCCCAACCAGGGATCGAACCCGTGTCCCCCTGCGTTGGGAGTGTGGAATCTTAACCACTGGACCGCCAGGGAAGTCCCATAACCCAGTATTTTTAATTTATCTTTTCTCAAGAGTCTTAAAAAAACAAATCACCATATAAAACCACAAGGATGACAATTTAAAAAAGCAAACCACTTCCCTGACGGCAGTATAGCATGGTAATTGTTGAGACCATGGATTTCAGTATCAGACTAACGTGGTTTTGAACCTGTCTCTGCCATTCACAGGCAGAAAGTCCCTGAAAGTTCCGTTTCTTCACTGAGCTGCTGCAAGGACTGAAGGAAATCGTGCACATAAAGAGGTAGGCATGATGGTTTACACACAGCAATGCTTCCGACGGAGGGAAGAGAGATGATGTGCACAGAGCAGTGAGCAATCTGGAAAGGTCCGTCCCCCGTTAACTTTAAACATCTAATAGTACCCAGTTAATTTCAGCAAAAACAAAAAGATCGTAAGCAGATGGCTTTAGTCTGAAGCTAGCAG